ACAAATTATCAATGAAGGTATTTCTAATTCGGCTAGTGAAAAGGTTGTTATAACAATATCTCTGGATTTGGTATGTCTTCCTTTTCTGATCACTTCAAGTACAAAGATTTTGATATTTTTGATTCTTCGCTGGGTAGACTTGTTCCCATTTGTGACAAATCTTTTTCATCTTTATTGGGAACAAAGCCAGTAGATGGTCTTCGTCTCACTCAAACTGTTTGGGCAAAGACTGAGAATCTCCTTCGTAGTGCTTCTCAAGTTCTTGGCACAGCCGAACATTTTCTAGCTGCAACCGGACATTTGCTTAACAGCGAAGATTCGGTTGTTCCAGCAGAGTTACGATCTTTCTTACTTCAACTGGATAAAGCTCTAAGTTCATCTCACTTGCTTTTAATGGGTTCTATTGCTAATTGCACCCTATCTAAAAGAGCAGAATTTCTTGAAAAAAAACTTCTGTTGCTAAGTCTTTAAAAGATTCTTTACTGAAATCTCCACTTTCTGACAAGATGTTTGGTTTACCCTTACAGCGGGTTCAAGAGGAACTCAGCAAAAACCATCCTCCCGTCAAAGTTAATGTACAAGTTAACAATGGCAATAATTCGGTTAATGCTACATCTAGTTCTACTAGTACTTCTGCTTCAGGTGGTCCTCCTTCTTCTGCTAAGATAAGGAAGAATAACTACGGCAAACCTCAGAACAAATCCCATAACTCCGGTAAAAGTTCAGGTAAGTCTTCTGGTGGTTTTAAGGGCCCCCACGAAATCTGGGATTAGTCCCTAGGTTCTTGCCCCCTCGTACGTTATTGACAGCTTCCCCAGGGGAAAATCTACTACAAGTTCCTCACTAATCAATACCAGTAGGGGGAGGTTAAGTTTTTTCCTAAATCAGTGGAAGAAAATTACCTCACACTGTTATGTGCTGTCAATAATTCCAGGGGGATTAACACTTCAGTTCAAGAACCCATCTCCTCTGTCTGCAGTTCCGATAAGTTAGTCTCATACTCAAGACCCAGTCAAGTACCAACTTCTATCAGTAGAAGTAGAAACTATGTTACAGAAATCTGCAATAGAGGAGGTGTCGCTCTTAACTCTGTCTCCGGGATTTTATTCCCGTCTTTTTCTGGTTCCAAAGAAGACGGGAAGAATGAGGCCGGTCATAGACCTATCTATTCTTAACAACTTTCTTATTGTTCCCCATTTCAAAATGGAAACCAACAGATCAATCAGGGCTTCAATCCTTCCAGGAATATGGACTACCTCTCTGGATCTTTCAGACGCTTACTTCCACATTCCCATTTCCCATACTTACAGGAAATACCTTCGCTTCGTTTGGAACAACAAAGTTTTCCAGTTCAAGGCTCTCCGTTTTGGCCTATCTACAGCCCCTTTGGCTTTTACCAAAATCATGCAGGCAGCTATAGCTCACCTACATTCCCTGTCTATTCAGATTCATTCCTACCTGGACGTTTCCCTTCTCAAGGAATTTTGCCCAATCAAATTGAGGGTTCAGACAGATTTGGTCATCAATTGCTTTCTGTCCTTAGGCTTCCTAATTTCCTGGAAAAAATCAGAGATAGTTCCTTCTCAAGACTTTGTTTTCCTGGGAGAACATTTCCTAACCAATCTAGGCCTAGTTCTCCCCCCAGAGGAAAAATTTACAAAACTACTAGTATGTCAGAAAATACATTTATTTCTGACTGTTCAATCAGTCACAGCACGTCAATTCTTGCAACTTCTGGGTCTATTGAATTCTCTGGCAGATGTAACTCCATTGGGACGCCTTCACATTCGTCCGCTTCAGTTTTATCTGCAGAAGTTTTGGATTCCAGCTTCACAAGAATGGGAAGCATTGATTCCAATCACTCAGCCTCTATTTTCACATCTTCATTGGTGGTTAGTACGGGAAAATATAATGAGGGGCCATCTCTGTCCCCTCAAGTTCCCAATCTAACTTTATTCACAGATGCCTCCACCCTCGGGTGGGGAGCATATCTGGAGGGGTTTACAATCTCGGGAGTCTGGAATCCAGATCTTTTGGAAGAGCATATCAATGTATTGGAAATGAAAGCAGTTCTGTTTGCACTGAATCATTTCCAACAGTCTCTAAAGAATCAGTCTGTCATTCTGGCCACGGACAACACAACAGTTGTAGCTTATCTCAAGAATCAGGGAGGAACTCACTCGCCTTCTCTTTATCAGATAGCCAGAGACATTATCCTTCTGTGTTTTCAACTCCAGGTTCATCTAGTGGTGAGACATATTGCGGGTCAACTCAATATTCTAACCGACACTCTATCCAGATCCCTTGCTTCAGTAAACACGGAGTGGGAACTACTTCAAGTAGTTTTCAAAGCTGTGACTCTTCATTGGTGGTCACCTCAGATAGATCTGTTTGCGACCAGTCTCAATCACAAACTTCCCATATGTGTGTCTTCGGTTCCAGATCCAAATTTTTTTGCGGTAGACGCAATGAGCCTATCTTGGAAAGGAATGTTCGGGTACGCCTTCCCTCCTTTCAGGTTTCTCTCCCCAGTACTTCAGAAAATAGCAGGGGAGAATTGCAAGATCATAGTTATTGCTCCAGCATGGCCAAAACAGTCTTGGTTTCCAGACCTTCTGCGCCTATCATGTGCTTGTCCTCTAGTTCTTCCTCTGAGACCAGACCTTCTGTCTCAAATCAAGGACAAGGTTCTTTATCAAAATCCAGAAAAAACTTCATCTACACGCCTGGCTTCTCTCAGGGTTAGCCTCAGAAAGAGAGGTTTTTCTGAAGGAGCAACTAAGCATCTCACAAAGTCTGTCAGAGACTTCACTAGCCTTGTCTATGATGCAAAATGGTCAATCTTCTCAGATTGGTGTAGTGAGCGGGAAATCGATCCTTTCCAAGTCACTGTACAACAATTAGCAGACTTTTTAGTTTTTCTTTTTGAATCCAAAGGATTATGTCCCTCTACTATTAAGGGATATAGATCAGCTATTTCAAGAACTATTCATATTTCTGGTGGTCCAGATTTGAAAACAATGAGCATATTGCTCTTTTGGTTTGTAGTTTTAGTCTTGAAAGACCAAGACAAAAAACTTTAGTTCCTAAGTGGGACCTTGGACTAGTTTTATCTTTTTTAAAACTTTCTCCTTTTGAACCAGCAGAAAAAAAAAATAGATTTAAGGTTTCTTTCCTATAAATGCTGTTTTCTTTTAGCTTTGGCTTCTGGACGGAGAAGGAGTGAAATCCATGCCTTTTCTGTTTCTGATGCTTACTTTCGATTTAACAGGGATAAATCTTCTGTTACTCTTTTAACTGATCCTGCTTTTTTGGCAAATAATCAGATTCCAGATAAGGGTGCAGTACCAGTCGTGATTCCTGCACTCCCTAGCGATTCTATTTCTGTACTTTTATGTCCAGTAAGAATCCTTTCTATCTATCTGGATAGAACGAAGAGTTTACGTTCTGTTTCTAACTCAAGACTCTATTCCTATTAAAAAAGGAATCTCAGATCTTTCTGTTAAAACTATTTCTACTTGGATATGCAAATGCATATCTTTAGCTTATGGTTCTTCTAAGGCAGAACTTTTGGATAGTGTTAATGTTAAAGCTCATGATGTTAGGGGTATCTCTACATCCTGGGCCCTGTTTAACAGTGCATCTTTAGAAGAGGTACTGTCTGCAGGTTTCTTGAGAAATAAGAACTCTTTTATCTCTCATTACCTCCAATCTATGGCTACTTTTGCCGAGAGGTAATACTCTCTTGGACCTATAGTTTCAGCACAAAGATTGAACTTTCCTCCTGTTTCTTCTGTTACAGGGGATTCAGCTTTACGTTAGATTCTGTTACTCAGAATTTATGATGGTAACGTATTTATGGCTTTAAAATAATAAAATTTTAAAGTAAATTTGGATTTTATTAGATAAATACTTACCATCATAAATTATAGGTCCCACCCGCCTCCCCTTCATCCCCTTTCCTTACGTTTCTGTCTTAAGGAAATTGAATGGGAAAATATGGGTACACAGGGGTATATGTCCGGACCAGTGATAGTACGTTTATTTTTAGTCGGGGATATTCCATCTGACCTAATGATGCAGTTGGGGTACACTCAGAATTTATGATGGTAAGTATTTATCTAATAAAATCCAAATTTACTTTAAAATTTGATTATTTTGACTTTTTGTCAGATATTCGGAATCCTCTAGTTTTATCCATGAAGTGCAAACAAGATTTTGCCCGCTAACCCCTACTTTTCCTTTTTTAATAATTTTTTTACATATAGTTACAAAAAAAAACCATTTTTAAAATCTTATAAAATACTTGTTATTTTTTCATAGATTTTGACAGAAAAAAGGTGTGCATGTTAAATGAGATAATAATTTTCAACCAAATTTTCAATTTTTAAAAATGTATTAAAAAACATGTTTATTGCTTTTGTAACCGAATGTTTTAAGGTTTTCATACTATGTTATTGGGTCCATGCATTGTAAACTACTGGATATTTTTCTCTTCAATATTTGTCCTCGTATTAACACAACTACATGTTTATGAATAAACGAAAAATGGTGTTTACATCAATGAGACATTACCTAGCAACAAACAAGCAAAACAAAACAAGACATGATAATATTAATGCTATGTACAAGTACGCAGCCACGTCCGGTCAGAATGATTTCGTTTAATTCGATACCTCGTGTAAAGAGAGTGCCACGCTCTTTGCACGGTAAGAACCCTTGCAACTGAAGAAGGATAGCATTTTCGTTTTAAAGCACTTACCCGTCTACTTACCCTATCCAATTTATTTATTGTATTTCCTAGTCTGATTACAAAAATTCATGTGGTTTTCATTTGTTTGTTTTTTCCCTATCCTCTGCAACACTGCAACGTTTCCTAGTTGAAATACAATTTAAAAAAAAAGTATTTACCCATTTACAGCATATACAGTTTGTTTGCAGCAAGCGTCAATAATTAGTGGAATTTGAATGGCTTGTCAATGGGAAATAAAAATCAATTCTACAGCAGCGTCATATAAAGAACAGCGTAAAGCTAGTATCAGTCAATTCAACGGGAGTAAAACGGCAATACTTTCTTACGGTAAGTTGTAATCATTATATTACCTTATATGAAATACAATTTATATTAAAAAATATTCTCATTGCAGAAATGTGGTGCTTATTTTCAAGAGGCGGTGTTATTATTAATACTACATGCATAAATGCTATTTTATACAGTACCAACAATTAAATAATATATTAAACTTTTTTTATGAAAATAGTTAATACGTTTTGCAGTTTAGTTCAGTAAAAGATAAAGATGATTTATTTTCAGTTTATAAAAGTGTTTATGAATATATTGAATTAGTTATAAGCTTTCAAAATCTAAAGCTCCCACCCGCAAAGGGTGACTGGGGAATAGAAATATGGTCACTTAGGTCTTCTATCGACCGGCAGTAAAAGCCTTGCCAAAGTGGGCGCCGTTTGGCGGTGTGGGATGTACAAGTACGCATCCATGTCCGGTCAGAATGATTACGTTTAATTCGATACCTCATGTAAAGAGAGTGCCACGTTCTTTGCACGGTAAGATCACTTGCAACAACTTTTTGAAGGATATGTTGCGAGGCGAAATTTCTGTCCCTGTCTAATATGCCCTCATTTTCCAGTGGCAGTCCAAATGACCCCGACATTCATCCCGGAAGACCTCAATTACGTGACCTGCCTTTTGTATTTATTATTAAGTTGTTCTCGTCCTAAACATGCATGAAATATTTGCCATTGGACGTTTCTTTCTCTCTCTCTAATTCGGGGATAAATAGCTATCAATGTTGTGATAAGCTAGGGAATGACTGATTGTGACTTAAGGGGCACATTCTTGACCATCTATGACACAGATATTCCATAACCAAATTGTAATGGCGTTTGTAAAACTTTCGAAGAAAATACTCCTTGGGTATCTCTCTGTATCTTTTTTTTTTATTAAATGTTACAGGACTTTCTATAATATTTTAACCAATTAATACGTTTTTAGTGTTAGTAAATTTATAATAACACAGCGGTTTCACGTGGATCGGTTTAACTAAATAGTCAAACAATAGCATTTAAAGGCATATATACTTCGAAATCTTGACTGTTTGTTTAAAACCTTTAATTTTTACAACAAACACAGAGATATATAATGGAAGTATAAGTCCACTTTGCAAAAAATAATAAAAAAGTAAAAATTCATACCCAAATTTGTATAGTAATATTATTAAGAATGAAGATAATCAAGACTGAGAATTGGTCTTCAAACCTTTCTTTCTGGCTTTACTGGCTGGTTGATAAAGTTATACTCATACTGTCGTTGTAAAACCATTGCGTCTGGTATTTTAAGGATAAGTATCACTTTGGTTATGATTTGTATGAAACAAAAGTTAATTCGAATTTGCTTTTTTTCTCTAAATTTAAATATTCAAGCTCATAAGTCGAAAATAATTGACATCGCTATGGAAAAATACGACCAAATTAAAGACAAACAAATGTTACTAAGCACAACATAGAAAAACTAAAGACTGAGTAACAGGAACCCCACCAAATACTGGGGTTCTGATTTCAGGTACTCCGGAAGGGTTAGCAGATCCTGCTACACATGTGACACCTATCGTGTTACTACTATAAAATACCTTGAGATTAGGCATCACGGATTAGCGGATTGGCAATTGACTCCTTTCTACCCTAAGACTTCATCAAAATCGTAAATCACCGGTTGTGTAAATTTTCTAATCCCGAAACTTGACTGAATGTAAATTTTCAAATTGAAATGAAACACGTTTTTCATGACAAAGGATACACAACATAGACATTGCCTTTAAAAAGCACACAGAACAACACGTAAAACTACAACAAGAACAACACGAACCCTTTATTAACAAAAGTACTAATTGCATTGCACAAGATATATCTTGTTGTACTGTTCGTGATGTTGCAGAATAAAATTCGATCTAATGTGCCGACGATACGATAATGTGGGATGGCACACATACTATATCAGCAGGTTAAGTACTTTAAGCTTATTTTAGTAACTGCAGAAATTCTTTGATATGGGTTTACCTTGTATTTTTTTGTGTTGTCTATTATACCGGTGTCATAGAGTTAAAAGTGTTTTTTACTGATCATATTTTTAAAAAAAATCTCATCTGTATCCTCAATTATTCAACTGATCGAACCCAAAGGGTTGGCTGGGGTATAGAAACATATGTTCATCTCTGGACTTTTCCTGCCCGGCAGTAAAACCTTTTCTAATGGCAGAATTATGGTTGCCTATGCGGGATGCATAAATACGTAATCATGGACGGTCAGAGGGGCGAAGTTAAATCCAATGCGCCGCGTAGGGTGCGTGCAACGATCTCTGCACGGCAAATAACTCGTACAACAATTATCTGATGGGTTAGTAGGTGCCTTATGCAATACAGAATGTATTCCCTAATCCAAAATACCATCAACAGTTACTCTAACGGTTGAAATTGAATAGAAGGGGGATGGGAGCTCAAAAAATTAGTTGAACCTCGAAACGAGCCAATGGCTCTGTTTAAGCCAAATGGTTGTCATTTCTTATATCATAATGTTGATTAGGAGAAAGGTGTTTTTATTACCAACTTTTTAACATTAGGGAATTCAAAGCATGTAACATTGTATATTTACACTTGTTGAAAAACGTATTATAGCTCTTAGATACATGTATATTTTGTGTCTCGTTGGGTTCATACCTTGTTGACTTATTTCCAACATAGATATAAGAAGGTGTGGTATGAGTGCCAATGAGACAACCTTCCATCCAAGTCAAAATTTATAAAAGTAAACCATTGTAGGTCAAAGTACGGTCTTCAACACGGAGCCTTTGCTCACACCAAACAGCAAGCTATAAAGGGCCCCAAAAATTACTAGTGTATTCTAACCATTCAAACGGGAAAACCAACGGTCTAATCTATTTAAAAAACGAGAAACGAGAAACACTTGTGAACCATATCAACAAACGACAACTACTGAACATCAGATTTAATCATCTTCATTCAATCATATTCGTTTCAACTTCTATAATGTTTACTCTTTGTTTAAAACTGCTTTGAACGAATGAGGGAAGGTGTCAGCGACGTTTGCATAAAATGTATGTATCTTATTGGCATTTGGTGGGTACATTGTTTTAATGTTCAGCTCCACTTTATATTCTGTTTAGTGAAGATATAGTCCGAACAGAGACATATATCTATATGTTGAATATGTCTCTGGTCCGAAACATTTACGAAATAAACTTCTAACCAATAGTTCTGTTACAACTTTAGACCCTTGGGAACTTTAAAAATGAATACTACATTTTATACAGTATTCGAAGATTAATTTTCAAGAACAATAAATACAAATGAAAAGGAATTGTTCCTTCGACTTTGTCTTAGATTAAGTGTCCGATAAGATAAAGCGTAGTCACTTTTATTTTGTTTTAATTAATCTAAATTTATAGTCTGTGCGGGGACTTAATTTCATTTAATCAAAACAGAAACTTCTTTCAACTGGCAATTGCAGTTATCACAGGCAATTTTTATGAATTTTATTTAAACGGGTTTATAACAATAAGAATAGCGACTTTACATTCGTACATTTGTAAATATAAAATATTAGATTGATATTTTATCAACTATTTGTATCAGTCTTAGAAACTAGAGAGGGCGATAATCCAAAATTTTTGAACGAAATAAAATAAGTATGATATTTTCTATTTAAGGAATGACTGTAATATTTTGTCTGTCTATGAAGAAATAACATCAACAATGTGGTGCACACTGAATAACCGGCGTAGCGGGTTTTTTAAATGTGTGCACCACATTTTTAAGGTTATTTCGAATAGACAGAAAAAATATTACAGTCATTCCTTAAATAGAAAAATATCATACTTATTTTATTTTATTTTAAACCTCAATACGGTTATTTTTCTATAAAAAAAAATGAAATATTTGTGCTTGTTCAGTCCATAATGCTTCCACGTACTATTTGCCAGTCAATAGCTTCATAGACTATTAACCAAGTAAATAGTTTTGCAATCATATTTACCGAACATTTCTTAACTCTTTTTTATCAGATGAAAATGACTCCATTCATGTTCATTGACTATTCGCGTTACTTGGACTTTTCCGCATGATAAGATAAAACACTGATTTAATAAATAGCTAAGTAGAAAGTTGTGTTGTTCGGTATATTGGGACATTTAATGACTGGATAATAGCAAGTTACCATTAGTTGTACCTTCGACTTGAGGAACAGTTGTTGTATCTTAGATTGTATTGTTTTGCATTCGTCATTTCGTGGCCTTTTATAGCTTGTTATGCGGTATGGGTTTAGCTCATTGTTGAAGGCCATATGGTGACCTATAGTAGCTAACTTCTGCGTCATTTGGTATCTGGTGGAGAGTTGTCTCCTTGGCAATCATATCACATCTTCTTGTTTTTGCTTTTGCCCTTATAACAAGTCAATAAGTGTTTAATATTGATCTGACAATAATTTTATATAACAGCAATACAATATAGCTATTAAAACGTTAACACAAATCCGTCCAAAAATGAGCTCCAGATTTTGACAAAAAATGATTGACACGAAATTGACATTGTACAAAAATATACCTTTGTTGCTATATTTAGGTAATAAAAGACAATAGACACTGTTCTAACTGTAGTAATAACATATCAATTTGTATAATAAGACACGCATTTAAGTTTCCGACAGGCGAAAATTAAGATACGATATTATTCTGACTTGTTTTACATTAATCAAAGTATTTTTTATATATAGAAAGGTATTATAGAATTGAGTGTTTTCTGTCTGACCTTATTTGCTGTCCTATTAATGTATCTTTGGCTAATTTTGTGATCGAGATTAAAAAAGAGGGGGTTGAGTACAAAAAAAATTTCATTCAACCCCGCCACACGTTTATGTGCCATTCCCAAGTTAGGAACCACGTCTAGTGGTTATCTCCAGTCATATTTTACTATATTTATTATTTAGAAAATTTGATCTGGAAGGAGATGTTTTTACAGTTTCTGCTAAATTTATTCTCAACCTGCTAGACAGGGTATATTATTATATAGCTATTTGTCCTTTGTTGAAGAAAAAGATGAACGTTTAAATTTTTTTTTTTGGGTTGCTTTCTCATTTGCATATATCACACCTCTTTTTATTCATTTTTAGTAAGTCACTATCGACTATTTAAATACATGCATATGTTTTGATCAATTCTAAGTTGATGAAGAAAAATGTGAAGTTACCAAGGGGTCAATTAAAAACCACATAGTCGAAGAAAAGACAACATGGCCAAAATATAAAGGACGAACATTCAGGTCTACAAAACACTACACAATAATCTAGAATTGAGTAACACGAACCCCAAAATAAACCGGGATGAATTCAGGCACTTCTGAAACTTAATCTCTCTAGATAAGTTAGATTAATATTATACGGCTGAGACCTCTTTTTTATTCCCCGTTTGTATTTATTCAGTTTTTCATACTTTCCAACTCTGAAATATCTTACTGAAATGTAATTCAGATAACGACGGTGTTCGATTTTTGTTTGTATCAATTGAAATTTCAATATCATTTGGATGTGTATTCAATTACAAAGAAAATAAAAAAAAAAGTACATATTCCACCCGTAGAAAAGTAGAACTATTCAATTGAAACCACATTTCCAAAGTCTCTACTTTTGCATTGTTTTATTTGTTCCATACATATCATAAACAAATAGGATCTAAAGCTGAAATAGTTCGTTTTTGATATTGTAGGTGTTCCAACTAAATCTTCAATAGTTTGACCGCATCAAATTCTCTTTACAAAATTTAAAACACTGTTAGAAAATGATACAACATTTGTTCTTGTAGGATGCTTCGTTTTGCTAGCAAAATTGGAAAACTTTAAAAACACACACAATGATAAAACAGTTTGATACGATACTTTCGTATTAAGATGCCTAGGTTTTGACCAATGTATAAGGAAAAAAACCTACTTCATCTGCTCAATCAAACATTTTTTTTATGTATTAGTATCTTTCAACGTTTAGCTTTCGTCGTTTCGAAGACAATGTAAATTTTAAGACTATGGGAAATGGTATATCCGTCTTATATCATCAATGGTAGAATTTGAAAATCAAATTAAATTTGTTTTTATTTTCTATCCTTCAAGGAATTCAATTTTGAAAGCTCGCATACCTGAGGATAACGGGTTACAGCAACTGTTTCAATGTCTTTGTACTTTTTCCTATTTCCGCAGATTGAAACCACCGTTTTGAGTTATCTTCCTGAGGAATGTGAGGTTCTGTCATTTATATGTGTATATATAAAAAAAAATTCAGATGTTGGTAAATGTCAGTGAGACAGCAACTCAACAATAAAGATATACTTTGAATTTGAAATGTTATAGACAGTAATAACAGAACATTCAGTATAATAAATAAAGTAACACATATCTGAGAGGGTGATAGAGCAGATTGTTACCCCTCGAAAAGACATTGTCAACCTTGGCTTCGCCTCAGTTGACAATGTTTTCTCGGGGTAACAATCTGCTCTATCACCCTCTCAGCTATGTGTTATTTATATAATATCTTCCGGTCGAGGAATATTAAATCAGTGTCAAACTTTTTATAGCATATAATGACATCATGAAAATCAAATTTGTTTCACAAAATCCAATAACTACCAGACATTCTCATTTTAGATTTGTAAATGTTTTTTAAAATATTTTGTTTTATATATTTCAGATGTGTAGAAGAACAGAAAAAGTAATATTATTATTTGTATTAATCACAGTACTGACTGGTGTATCAAGATCATATCCAGGTACAGGAGTCTAGACCCCCTCTAAATTAGTGTATGACATATATAAAAAAGATTTAATACTCTTTAAGCTGAGACAAGGTATCCCTGAAGCAGAACCGTTTTAACTCTTTTCTTTCGTAATGAAACACAAACAAAAACAAAACAACCTTTGTTTTCTTCGATAATCTTTGCAATTTTAAACATATGTCATCAGATCTCAGCTATATCCTACCAAAACTTCGTCCTTGCTATTAAACTGGTGGCAAAAATAGTATATAGAAATACTATCTTAAATTGCAAGCAAGATGAAATTTTATAAGATTAATCGATTTGTGGTTACTTAACATCCAGTGGCAAATATTACATGTATATACAGGACAAAAATACGGTTATGTGGTATCAGTATATCCTTCTTTGTAGAAGATCAAACTGCTTAGTTTCATTACATCTTAACGTGTTAGCTCACGAGGTGAACGTCTGGGGACATTTTTCACTTCACGGAAATATGTCAGGTCGTGGATTTATATCCGAACTACTTAATTTTATTACTGAATTTGTTTTCCTTATTGTACTATATAAAAAAAATGGAAGGATGTGTTTTTTTGTTATTTTTCGATATTCCAATTTCATTAAAAAAAATGGAGAAGTCATGGAATAAAACATTTATTTCCCTTGATAAAAAGAGCTATTGAAATGAGTGACTTGTGAATAGATATATGGTCACTACAGGTCTTCTTCCGACCGGCAGTAAAACCCTTGCCAAAGTGGGACGTCCATTTGGCTGTGCGGAATGTACAAATACGCAGCCACATCCGGTCAGAATGGGGACGTTAAATCCGATGCCTCGTGAAGAGAATAGCAAAATAATGGACAAAGCAATATCCACAGTTGATGATAGGAATATTGTATTCGAAATTGCTCCTTAACCAATAGTTGGGTTTAAATGAATATCCAAAAATTGTTCACCTATTTTTTTTGTTTTTATCTGAATCATCTTAGGCGAACTTGTGACAGCGATAATGCAATTATGGGATTTCGTCCAGTAGTATATTAAAACCGGTATAAGAAACAAGCGTAAAGGTTGTTAATTATTATATGATATTTACATTCTTTGAGTGTGTCTAACATATACAGCGTATGTTCTCACTTTCACCAAATGAACGATGTAGGAGTCGAAAAATAAAATAGTTTTTTAAAACTCAAAAAACTGTGGCACATGTTGTAAACTAATTGAATGGGGTTTTGATAAATCAGGTCTTGAATTCATCTATTGCAGTAATAATCGGCCTTTCTTAAATCATGAAATATATGAACAAAATCATTGTTCCTCAAAATATGCAGACGTGATTAAGTTTTAAATTTCTAGCTTGACAACATTTTTGTTAATTATGGCAAGATAATGTATCGTCAAATTATGGAAATTCCTGAGGGCACTAGCTGCACACCTCTTAATCGATCTTTTTCTTAACTGTAATGAATCTTCTTGCATAAAAAATTCAGAAAGGAAAAAATTAAAATTCTCACAAAATAATGATGGGTACTAGAGCGATGAATCAAAGGAGTCATGTCGGCAAGTCAGCCAATACTCCATCTGCCAGACCAAAATCTTTGTATCTGTGACAGAATTTACTAAAGGTTTTAATCTGTTGTTACGAAAAACCTGACTTAGACAATGGAAGTGACTTAACTTCTTTTGTCCCAAACTTAAAACAGACGGTAAAACATGTTGTTGTATCTACGTCTAGTTGAGTTTACATTGTGATATACAATGAAATTTTAGTTGAAAATTTAAAATGCATACAGTTTAATATGACTTATATTTAAAATAAAGCTAAACTGAAATATTGGATAATGCTTGATTTTACAAAGAAAATTTTAAGAAGAGTATACCTGTTTATTTTTCCAATGTCTGCCATTCCTAAATATATTAACAGTTTTACCGTTGAGCGCGACACATGGTGTATGTTTATACTCCTGCAAAGGAGAAGAATATTTGAGTTCATTATCTCAATGTAGTTTTAAAAGGTAATGTTTTATGGAGTTATAACTTTCATTAGCATTTGCTTATATGTGAAGAGAAGGACAATTCCTGAAACATGTACTTTTATATGTATGAACATCAAATAAAAGTTGAATCATCGTAAAACATACACAAATGCTCTTCAACTTCGTGCTTTATTTGGCTTTTTTAACTTGCTTGGATTCGAGCGTCACTGATGAGTCTTTTGTAGACGAAACGCGCGTCTGGCGTAAATACAAAATTTAATCCTGGTATCTATGATGAGTTTATTTACTATTATATATGTTAGCTAAATAGTCAGTTCTTCTGTACTGACATAATTTATAACGTCTTTAAATTGCCGGTAATGAATTAAGAAATTATTATGAAACTAATGTTCCAACTCCATAGGACAAAGTTGACATTTAACGAATGTGGCTATTTTTGGGTGCATTTTGGTCACATAGCTCTCAAATGTTTGGGTGCCTATTGGTCACATAGCTCTCAAATGTTTGGGAGCCTTTTGGTCACATAGCTCTCAAATGTTTGGGTGCCTTTTGGTCACATAGCTCTCAAATGTTTGGGAGCCTTTTGGTCACAAAGCTCTCAAATGTTTGGGTGCCTTTTGGTCACATAGCTCGCCTTTTGGTCACATAGCTCTCAAATGTTTGGGAGCCTTTTGGTCATATAGCTCTCAAATGTTTGGGAGCCTTTTGGTCACATAGCTCTCAAATGTTTGGGTGCCTTTTGGTCACATAGCTCTCAAATGTTTGGGTGCCTTTGGGAGCCTTTTGGTCACATAGCTCTCAAATGTTTGGGTCATTTTTGGTCATATAGTTCTCAAATGTTTGGGAGCCTTTTGGTCACATAGCTCTCAAATGTTTGAGTGCCTTTTTGTCACATAGCTCTCAAATGTTTGGGTGCCTTTGGGAGCCTTTTGGTCACATAGCTCTCAAATGTTTGGGTGCCTTTGGGAGCCTTTTGGTCACATAGCTCTCAAATGTTTGGGTGCCTTGGGAGCCTTTTGGTCACATAGCTCTCAAATGTTTGGGTGCCTTTTGGTCACATTGCTCTCAAATGTTTGGGTGCCTTTTGGTCACATAGCTCTCAAATGTTTGGGAGTCTTTTGGTCACATAGCTCTTAAATGTTTGGTTGCCTTTGGGAGCCTTTTGGTCACATAGCTCTCAAATGTTTGGGTGCCTTTTGGTCACATACAGACCTTCTAAAATTCAAACTGACCACACGCACGATACACGCACGCACGATACACGCACGGTGAATGCACGATACACGCACGGTGAATGCACGATACACGATACACGCACGATGAGCGATGAGCGTTACACGGAGGATTAACGAAAAATGAATGATGAATGATGAACACACGATACACGCACGGTGAATGATTCATTGACGAATGAACGATAAGCGCTTAATACACGGTTCTCAAAGCCATTTTATTTGGAATTGCATTTAAAATTGATGTATGATAATGAAAATCTATAAGGGTATACAAATTTTAGATATCTCGCTTTCTGTCGACAGTTTTACTAAACACTCCATGTATTAATTAAATTAATTGTAGTATAGTATTTCCAATATCAATGAGTGTTGTCAAATTATAAAACTCATCGATTTTATAATTCTACTTAATATAAATAATTTATAAATTGCTACGTTTTAAAGAGTGGCGATTCCAGCCATTTTTAAAAAGAGGGTTCTCAACCCAGGATAAAAGGGGTGGTTTTAAGCATATGTCCCCATTCAAATGCATTGACCCCCCCCCCCTTCTTTTTATCTGCCTAAATTTGTAACCTTAACTAATTAATTAAATTAAGGAAATATTTGTATGTTTCGAAGTTTAGTATGATGTCCATTATCACTGAACTAAAATTCATTTTTGTTTAGGGGCCAGCTGAAAAACGACTTCGGTGCGGGATTTTCTACCCATTGGTGGCCTTCGACTGTTTTCTGCCTGTACGTCTAAACACTGCTAAGGACTTATAATATGCCACTAAGGACTAGAAAGGACGTGTTACTTGTACTCTGTTTTCATACTATGGTAGAGATAGATAGATTTTTATTACATAAATTCCTATTTTTAAAGAAAAAGAATCACCATTAAATGAGTAGTTGAACAATATTTGGAACGTGCCGGTTTTTCCTTGATATTGCCGAAAATCAGTGATCCGACTGACACGAGCGAACTTACATAACAACTGATTAAACAATCATAATCTCTTTTTTTTTACTTAAGTTACAATGTTCCTTTTATCAGAGACATATAATACAAGAGATTCGCAACTCGGCGAAATCCCGTAATAACACGCGGCCACTAGTTAAACCTCGCGAGATCTCCTTAGGTAATAAAGTCATTAATAAAAGTATTAAAAGTACTCGAAGTAAGGACGAATGTTTAAGCATAACATAAACTGTTTCAGTGTTAAATTTATCATAATTAATTAAATATAATTTGAGTACATATATAATTATTTATTTTAATGGAATTTTGATTTTAGATTTGTATTATTGAAAAAGAGACATAATTTGATATTGTATAAAAAAAAAAACTGATATTAAATAATTAACACTTAATAAATTGTGTCAGAGTTCATTTTATTTGATAGTTACATAATGGGTTTCTATTGAATATACACCTGTCTCGGAGACATAATTTCACAGTGTGACATGTATATTAGGTTTGAATTATTCGATGACCAGGTAAATCACGAACATGTTATAAATAATGAGTTTTAATTGACACCTTGTAAACAAGAAGTTGTCACACCACAGGTGTCCACACACTTTCCAAAAATACAATTCACAAAATGTAAAATCAATTAATATGGTAAAAAACTTAATTTATTTGTTAATTAATTGTTAATCATGATAGGCTTTGTTTTTTGTTCTTGATATTTAAAAGTTATTAAAATTTTATTTATTTTTATATTCATCATTTATTGGGCTTTCATTGAGTTTTTTTCTATATATATCTTTATTCTGTCAAACCTTTGCAATTAC